AGTGCTTCTGTTGCTCCATGGAAAATGATTAATAGGCGTTTTATTTCTGTCCTTTTCCACGCTTTTCCAGTGTGTGTTTGCTTTCCATCACCGGTAAATATGGGAACAGCTCACGCTGTGTGGGATGTTATTGCACCTCTTCTGCTACTGAAAGGTGACTCTTGGAACAAGAGGACACCAAGCTACGAGTCCCAGACACTGAAGGTTCATTTAACTGAATTTAACCTCTCCAATAAACCAGATTATTTAAAACGAAAAACCAAAACAAATCACCATTTGCAGTGTTGATGATGCTGACGACACTGTGCAGATATTATCTGATTCAGGACTTGTTAGCTATATCAGATTTCCTCCTTGGCAAGAGTTTGAGCCCATGGATAATAAAAATTTCAAGGCCAAACCTGTTTTCACCCAGTTTTCCTTTGACTTCAATACAACAGGAAAAAGAAAGTAAAAACTGAACTAGGCAAAGCATGGGAGCCAGGTTATCTGTCAGTGCTCCCAGAATATCACAGAATCACAGAGTGGGTACGGTTGGAGGGAATCACTGGAGGTAATCTGGTCCAACCTCCCAGCTCAAGCAGGGTCCCCTTGAGAACATCACTCAGGACTGTGTCTAAACAGCTTCTGAATAACTCCAGGGAATGAGGCCCCACAATCTCTCTGGGCAACCTGTCCCAGTGCTCATTCACTGAGATGTGTCCTCTTCCACGTCTTTACCCTGTCACTGCTTATGCTGTAACAGCGACCAGGGCTCTGCTCCTGCTGCCAGAGTTCAGAGAGACCTTTTCAAGCTCTTCATTTCCTTTCTGCAATCAGTCAAAGAGGTCACTGTTGAGCCAGACTTTCTACTTAAGGAAGTAATAAAACAGCTCCAGCAGACACCGAGGAGCGAATTCATTTTCACCGGGTCCAGAGAGGTGTCTCTGGAGGAGGAGAGAAGAAATCACAGGAAGGTGTGAGCGTGGGGCAGCCTCAATAGCAGGATAACACCTCTTGAATTCCCCAGGGAATGGAGGTGGCTGTGCAGCCCTTTTGCCTGTGAAAGCAGTTAATAGAGATGCATTTGAGCTGTGACAATATCACACGTGCCAGCAGTGGATCAGTAGGCAGTTTCCTCCTTACCTTCACTATTTGTAAGTGTACCAGGTAATATAGCCATGCAAAAGCACTGTAGTTAGCTCAGATATCTTCCAAGGATTCATTTGAAAGAGATATTCCATCAAATTTGCACATTATCCAGCTACAAAGAAAGGACATTTGTGTATGCAGGCATTCTGGCAGGAGCTATTTGCTTTGGGGCCAGATGTAATTCAAAGTTATTCTGAATATTACACTGCAGCAGCCTGGCCAAGCACAGTAATGCTGATTATTAGGGTTTTCCTGGTTTTCCAGATGGATCTGATTTCATTTAGTTCTCTCTCTGGTAATTAATAACTTGTCCCTTTTGTTCATGTTGAATCTTTCTTTCATCTTTGGCATTTTGTGGAATAGTTTCCAATTCACTTAATCCATTTCTTGCCTCCTCAGTGCACGTAGCTGAACTCATTCAGCCATACACAGTTTAGTGATGTGAAGCTCAAATCTCTGCTGCACAATCTCACATCCACTTCACATCGAGCTGTCACTTTTGTCATTTATATTTTATACGCTATAAACTCACAAATCATACCATTTCATACTAGAGCAATGTCAATAATCTTTAAAAAAAAAAAAAAAAAGAAAAAAAGAAACACCCTAACCACTAGCAAACATATGGGATCTGTACGTTCTGTCCTTTAAACAAGTGCAGATTTAGCAAGGAGGGGGAGGGAAAAGGAAGGGAACGAGAGCCACGTCCCCCCACTGCCAACGCAATGCATGTTCCTGCAGCATCAGGGTTTGGATTAGGCCCATGGCCACCCTACTTAGGTTTCAAATCAGGAAAAAATAGCTGGAATTCAGTTCCTCACTGCCAGTTTTTAGTAAGATTAGACTTCAACATACAGAGGATTTTTTTTAAATAGCCTTCACATGAGACCAGCTCTTTGCATTGAGAGTGTGTTCATAAAACGGGATATCAGATGTTAATAAATGACGAGTATTTACTCTGTAGGCATATTACAGACATGTGTAAAATGTGCTAGAGGAGGCTAAACACTCACTGGTTACAAACAGGCTTAGACACAACAGCACAGATTAACCAGACTGCCTTTTTTTGTGCTTTAACTCCCAGTACGCAGCACAGCTCACTCCAGGACTGGGATCCTAAGTGCTTCCAAAATTTAAATAGCAAATATTAATCTACCAGAACATATAAACAAACAATTAGTTTGCAGTGTGTAGATGAAGCGGGCTTGCCCCCAGTAGCTGGATGTCGGAGGCAGCCTGCACGTCCGTGTGTACGTGCACAGTCCCACGCATCCCATCGAGGACAGGAAGGGATGTCAGTGGGTCCCTCCAGTGCTGGTCTGCAGGGAGGGAAGTTGAGCCAGTGAACACTGGAAGCCAAAGAGCAGGATATCTGTGGTATCACAGCTCTGACCCCAGCAGTGGTGGGACAGTCACCTCCTTGGGCTGGATGCACCAAGTGTCGAGAAACCCAGGTGTGGGGGTTTCTGGCTTTATGCTGCTGTTCCCAAGGGAATGTGGGCACGTGACTGTTCCCTGTTTTCTTTTCTTTTGTCCTCCAAATACTTGGAGCACATGGGACTCCAGTTACTGTATATTTCAAAGCCTTTGTTTCTTCACCCTTCATGCTGCACCGTGACATTGAATGTGCCTCAAATGAACGAAAGGCCCCCTTTAAAGCTCGTCACAGTTCAGTGCCTGTGTTTCTGTGGGACCACATTCGGGTTTTTTTTTTTTAACAGATTAATGGCCATAAGGTCACAACAAACAGCACTGCATATGACTGAAAATTAACTTTTAATAGAGTGCATTGAGCTCAGGAGCCGATTAGGGCCTTCATGAGGCAAGAGCAACGCTAATCCTGGAAGGGCTCCTAAAATCTTTCGTAAGCTGCATTTAATTAAAAGAAAATGAAATACGCGAGAGTTGATGCACGAGTTGTGCATTTGTGCATCCCACTCAATGAATGAATCATTTCCCTGCCTTCTCTGACACAGAAATACCTTGCAACCCATTAAAGATATTAAATATTTTTACAGCTCCAGTGGACCACGTCACCACAAGCCACCCCAGGCCAAGGCCATTGAAGTCCAGAGCTGAGCTGGTGTGACTATAGTGCTTCTGAAATGATTTGTGTAGAGGATGACATCCAGACCACAACCTGTCTACAAGAGGACATGATTGCCTGCACCACTGCTAAGGCAAACATCACCCAAACTGCTGTTACATTCACAAGGTAGAGATTTGTTTGTATTTTCAGACCCTCCATAATACATATAGAGCATGTGTGCATCTGGGACAAATCTAAATCAGTGGAGCTCTAGCAGTGGTACCACTTCATCATGGGAAAAGCACATCTTGCTCACACAGGCCCTGTTCTTACCAGTTGTTCCAGTCCTGCTACTGGTAGAGAGCAACAGGGAGCCAAGAACCTCTAACTGGAAAGATGAATGACAAGGTGGATGAGTGTGAATTGATCAAATGGCAGCCAGATCCTACTGGGATGCAGTATGGGACCAACCAGCCCCCTGCCCTGGCACAGGGCACAGACCCTGCTCCTCCCCATCGCTCAGCAAGGGGCAGATTCCCACTGCACACCCACAGAGCAGAGCAGCCCTGAAGGCAGAGGCGCCTCATGCTCCTCCAGTGTGCTGGGGACCTGTCAGGCTCACTCACATCCCTCCGAGGGCTGGGGCTGGGGTTAGATCAGCAGCCTTCCCACCGGATTAACACAGAGCTTTGCAGCTCTGCCGGCACCATGCCCGCGCCTGTCAGGACCCATCAGACAGCCAAGCCTTAACAGCTAATAGAGTAACGGAGTGAAAGGAATGAAATTACCCCTCTCTGAAATAGCCAGAAAGACGCTTGGCTAAGGCTGAACACAGCTTAAGATTTTACAGAAAGGAGGACACTGCACTTTTGGGGGGCTGCATTGCCGGGGAAGCAACCAGGCTTGGATGGTCCATCGCTGAAGGGGCAGAGCAGTTCCCACCCCAGTGCCCAACCATCAAATGGGGTTCAGGGCCACCGAAACAACCAGGATGAACTGGGAGCACTGAAGGGGCAGAAAGACGGGAAGAGGGTTGTGCGATAAGCAGCAGTGCTGTGGCTGCTTTTCTTTGCTGGTGGTCCCTCAAAATGTCATTATCATGTCGAAGGCTTATGAATCAGGGAGCAAAAAAGGTTGCTCAGGTTTTGCGCCCTCGGGGTTTGTTGGTTTTTTTTAATGTATTTTTTGATGTGTACTGATCCAAGGACAAAGTAACTCAGGATGAACAATTTCCATCACCTTTGCAAGGAGATCAGCATGTCATGCTCAGACAGACCCCACGAGTCTCTCGGATCCTGCCATGATCCTCACGTGTCCTCACATGGCCTCCGACGGCTGCGCTCCCAAGGCTTGTGTGCATCAACGTGACCCCCTCCAGGCACCAGGAGTCAGCTGGGTCCATCACGTGGTGGTCAGGGCAGAGGGAACATGTGTCAGACCACAAAACCCTAGCAGGAGGCAAGTTCCCGGATCTGCTTGTCACCACCAGTTCTGGCTCACCCCTCCCAAGTCTTCCCCACACCACTCCCAAGTCCTTTTTTTACTGCAGTTAAAAAAAAAAAAAAAAAAAAAAAAAAAAAAAAAAAAAAAAAAAAAAAAAAAAAAAAAAAAAAAAAAAAAAAAAAAAAAAAAAAAAAAAAGCAAATCCGTGGCGCGTAAATCAAGCTTAGAAAGGTTGCAAGTCTGTTCTCTCTTGAACTCATGTTAATTATGGGCAATAAAAAAAAAAGGCACCTGGAGCCCAAAGCTGGTGTTTAACAATTTATTCCACAGGTCAGCGAGAGGGGAGGAGGGTGATGCTCAGTCTCAGCAGGCCACTGCTGGCGGGGTGGAGGCTGGGCTAGAAGTAGTTGATGACCCTTCTGATGGACTGGACGCTGGCACTGCGCGCCTGCCACGCGTTGAAGTTGCTGAACTCGCCGCGCTCCACCACGTACATGCGGCCTCGGTAGTTGGGCTCCTCGTACAGCACCCACCTGAGCAGAGAGGGAGGGTCACTGGGGTCCCAACACGGCGGTCACGCCAAGTTGCCCACGAGGGGTGGCTGCGTTTTAGGTGCTACAGCACCACGAACTACGAAGGTCTGATGGTCCCCAAGCCCCAGCCCCGTCCTGTGCACAGAAATGCTCCCGGTGGAGGTAACTGCAGGTGCTTTCCCGCTTCCCTCAGTGTAGCCTGGCAATTATCCCCAGCCAGACTGGACCTTGCACTGGATTACACCGGTGGTGAAGCCTGGGACCAGAGGCTCCCCTCCTCACATTACTCTAGGAATGGATCTCTTTGATTGTTTCACCATGTGCAACAGAAACAATTTAATAGCCTTTGATAGCGCTAAAGAAGGACACGAGTCCCCTCAGCCCCTGGACAACCCCCTTTTGGCCGGTAAGGAGAAATGTGCAACACTTGATGGGTGTTCTGCCTCTTTGAACTGGCTCATTAGCTATGATGGGAACCATATTTAGTAATTTCTCTCTTTGTTAGTAATTCTTAATGGCCTCTTTGATGCTTTGCAACAGAGAGCAGGACTTGGCTTGGTTATCTTCGCTTCATCTCTGCATCCAGAGTTAACCCCAACTTTCCCTTGGAATGCAGTCAAATAGGTGAAACACTCAATAACCTTGGTGACTTTGGCTTGCCTGACTTCTTCACCTGGCTTGGCTACATCGTTTCCCTGTCAGGATGGCTCATGGCATGTCTTCCACTGTTTGAAGGTCAGGAGCAATTCTAGTGGTCGAGAGGGATAATTTTGCTGTTTTCCTCTCCCTTCACCCCCTTTTAGTCACATTTGTCATGATGTTAATGTGGCCACAAGCGTCACCTCTGCCCTCTATTGAAATCTCCCGTGCTATTTAAACCAAGTTTTGCCATTGCTCTGACAGTTTTACGCTCATTTTTCCACTGTGTCGTTGCTGAGCTGCTCATCTCTGCCTCTTTCCTCTCCTACCAATGTTTTGAAGGATTTCATAAGGATCTGTGCTGCTTGTCCCATCTGCAATGACAGCAGGGCAGAAATGCAATCCTCCAAATCATTCGGTTTCTGTGGTCTGTCTTGCCAGGAACTCAGCGGGGACATTGGGGTTGGGACCTCCTGTATGTGGGATTTCCAGGGAGAAACTCCTTCACGTACTGGTCAAAGACTGCTGGGCCTCCAGGGTCAGACAACAGCTGGTGAACTCAGATCAGTCTGATCCAGAGCAACAAAACTGGAGGCTCGGGGAAAAAAATCGTTTATGAAAGCAACCACCCACAGGCATTATTTAAAAAAAAAAAAATAAAGTTTAAGGTATTTAGTCAAGCCACCTTGCAGATTCCCTGATATATTTGGATTTCTTTTGTGTTTCTGAGAGGACACAAGGTGGGACTGTGCTGGTCCCTTTTCTCAGGTGCCTGTGCACCGCTGTGACCTGCCTGGTGCCCCTCTCCTGCCCCTGCCTGTGCCTGCACCATCGCTGCAACGGGATTCCTACAAACCAGGAAGCATTCTTCAGCCCTTTTTGCAGCCGCTTTATATCTGAACTGGAATTACAAAGCCATCCTCAGACTATTCCTCTGAAGTTCACTTTGCAGCACATGGAGAAGGCTGTCTGGTGCTCATGTGAGTGTAGTGGCAGGTTGCCCTGAAGCCATGTACCCCCCTCACATATCCCGATGTGCACTGACAGAGAGTGTCCTCAGCTCCTCAGCTTAATTAAGAACAATTTATAAAATTCTCCTTCTCCTCCTCCAGATATACCCCAGCCTTGTTCCTAAGGCACACATGGCTTTCTTCGTTTTCTACCCCATCCCTTCATCTTACACACACTTCTCCATATTTTCAGATGATTGTGGACCTCTTTGGCCATCAGCTCACTGTCCCTCCCTCATGCACTCCTGGAAAGAGCTCCCAGTCCTGTTTTCTGCACCTTTCAATCACTGCTAATGCTACTGGAAGTACTGCATGGTGGTAGAACAGGGATGTCCTCTGATGGTCCACCGGGACATGGTGGTTCTCCCAGCTCTTCTCTGCTCTAGGACAACTTTCAACAGCATGTGAACCCTGGGGAATAGAGCAGGGGGAAGAGCAACCCCTCATAGGCACTGTCTTTCCCAAGATTTATGCGTTTCTCTCCAGACACATGGCTGATGTGACTGCACAATCACATGGAGGGAATGGGACAGGCCTTGGGGTAGGTGGAAGCACACCGAGTGACCTGGTGTGGTGACAAGAACCCACTGGCTTGTTCCTTTGGTTAGGAAAAGTCTAGGAAAAAGAAAAAAAAAAAAAAAGAAAAAAGAGGAATAAAAGGAATAGCAGAAAGATGGGAATGAATGTATTGGCAGTGCAAGGTGATGAGTGAAGGATTGTATGGCTTACTTAGCTGTTTCTTTATTGCCTAAAATTTACGTTCCCTGAGACCGTCAGCAAGAGAGGAAACCAAGTCAATCAGGAGCCCAGAAAACAAAAAAAAAATGATGATCCTGTTCTCAAGCCCAGCATGAGAGAGCTGATCCAGGGACATAGCACACAGCCCTCAGACATCTTGGTGCTGTGTTTCATTAGCACATAAACCCAGAGGACATGGGAATAAAACATGCATGGAACCAGCTCAAACCCTGTAAGCCAAAACTGACTGCTCACACTTAAAAACAAGGAGGGGAATGCTGCAGCATCAACCTGAACCAAGTAGGAGGCTTTCAGTGGGGCTGGAAGTCCCTCATTCTCCACGTAGGACTCAAGCAGTGCCAGGGGCAGGTATCAGCTCTGCTGAGAAATATGTGATGTGAATATTGGGCAGCAGCATTTGGGTACCTGTTCTGGTTGACATTTCACAACCTTCAGAACAACTACCGAACACTCCTAAATGCTTCAGCAGAATAAATGGTTGGTCTGGTTCCTGCAAGTTGTGTCACTGTGGTGTAGGAAAGCTCCTCCTGGGGTATTCTCTCCTGGACCGCAAAACACGTTTAGCTTTTTCAAGCTGTTGTTTCTAAGCAGCCCTCTGTGGAGTGGCTGAGGCACCAAGGAGGACAAGAAGAGCACGTCTTCATCTAAAATCAGATGATACCATATGTGATACTGGAGCTGGCTCTGCCCGTGGGAAGGGCAAAGCCACTCTCCACTCAACCTGCAACAGCTTCCGAGGAGGCGGCAACACCTCGAAACTGCTCCAAAATAGCAATCCCATTTCCAGCATGGTTTTAACAGCTTTATCATCACCCTTTCTGGCTGTGTGGGGTAACAGTTGCCAGCCCCAGAAGGGCAGCAGGGAAGGTGCTGGACACCCTCAGCCCCACCACGCACCATGCCAAAGGCAGACGTTTGTCTCCATTCCCATGTTTCCAGAGGATCCATCATCACTTCCCTCAGGCACCGCCGCCTCCACAAGCGCAGGCAGCAACTTTTTATCAGCACGTGACACCATCCATGGGTTTTGAAAAGGAAGCAAATATTTCTGTATCCAACAGATGTCACGCTGTGGGAATCGAGGGTGAAAATCACAGACTGAGGCTGTGGCTGGAACTCCCTTTGTCTCCACTGACCCCGTCTCCTCTGCTCCACAAATGGCAGAGGATGGGCCCTGGGAGAGCTTGGCCAGGCTATGCCCAGCACCACCTACACCTGTAGCACCTCTGGAGTCACCTGGGCTTATTTGGTCCATCCAAAGGAGAAAAATGGTGCCGTAGAGTTCCCTTCTCCTTCCTGGTCTCACCTCTCTACTGTGGTATCTTATCCTTCCCTCCCTCCTCCTGCAGCCTGGGGACAGGAGGTCCCCTCTGCACTGTCCTACCTTTTAGTTGACTTTGCAGACCTTTCCAAGCATTTCCAACAGGTGTCTTCCTGGGATCTGAATGTGATGCTACAAACCCCAGCGAGTTTCCTCACCACTCTCCTTTCAGTCCTTTATTTCTTTCCAATTTTTTATCACTACTCAAAGACCTGCAGAAGTCATGTAACACGTTAACACAAACAGTCCAGGATCCCACGCGAGGGAGAGCAAGCTTCATGCCCCCGATATATTTTGTAGGGGAAGGGGAAAATCAATCTGAAAAATTGAAGTGCTTGAAAGTTTCTGGGCAGCTTCCCAATTTTTGAAGCTCCAGGCTCTGTTACAAGGACCTGAGCAGTAAATTGGCCCTAAAGCTCTTGCCAGAGTACTCACAGGCTCCCTCTTGGCTTTATAGTGTTGGTACTCAAATGCTCAGCTCCAACAGGATCCCCAGTGAGCTCCAGCCATTTCTTCCCATTGGGAGTGGGTAGCTCTGCCCTTTAGTTTTAATGAACTGCCACTGCCTAATCATAAGCCTGGATTTTTCGAAGAGGAGAGGTCTTGGTTGAATCAGAAAAAGGGTCCTGCAGGACACTCACTGCCAGGGTGTCGCAAGATTGGGCGGCAACAACTATTCTGGGGGAAAAACGAACAGAAAGAGTCCAGCACTCCACGCCGGAGGCTGGTGAGCTGCACAATATCCAGTCCAGGACAGGTGAAGAATAACGTATCTGTGTTCCCTCCTCTGCCCTGTGCTTCCCTCCAGCCACCCTCTGCCTGGCTCTGGGAGGGTGTTGCAGCATTCCCCAGGTCCCAGTGAATTTGTTAGACAGAGGAAAAGGGAGACAGACAGATGACAACCCATCTGACAACAAGAGAAAAAAGACATTAAACAGGACAAATACCATAGAGAAAACACAAATTTCCACCAAAACAACAAGGAAAAGGCAAATCTGACATACTTCTGAGGCTTTTAGGGGCATCTGTACAGGCAGCAGGATGAGGCTGAGCATCATTAACTCATCTGCAAAGTGGGTTCATGAGGCACCGAGGGTGACCAAGAGCCCCATAGGGTGTCTGGGCATCTCCACTGCAGTTGCTTCTGTCTCTCTGAAACAGGATTTAATTTTAAGGCTCCCTTGTGCCATCCAGGTTTCTGGTGTCGGAGCCACTTGCAAGACAAAAGCCTTGATGCACCAACTGAGCCATGCATCCACCCTGCCCAAAAACCTCTGCGCAGCTTTCAGAGTGGTATTTGGAAACATGAACAAAAATGTTAGGAAGGGATGAGGGAAGAAGGGGAAAGGGAAAAGAACCAAGCTTCTTTTAGATGTCTTGTTCCACACACTTTAAAAAGGTGTCTTGAAACTCTTGTAGCTTGTGCTTAGCTGCCACTCTTTGAAGCAGCTCCCAGTGGCTGGGCATCAAAATTCACCCTAATGCCCACTTTTAGGCTTTCTCCAAGCCCCCTCACTCCCTGGAGCGCTGGGCACAGGGCCAGCACACGAGCAATTACTTACGCGCCGTCGCCGTACACTTTGAGTGCATTGATGCAGGTCTTGTCCCAGCCTTGTCCCTGCAGGAAGGAGCAATCTTCCGTCAGCTCCAGGCTGGGACCCCTAAAATGGCTCCCCTCGAATATCTCGATCCTGTAATGCTCGCCGTGCTGGGGACAAAGGGATTTGAGTCAACAGTAACACAAAAAAAGCGCAACCATTTATTTCTCCAGCTTGTACAAGACAAAGATGAAGATGGGAGGGTGCTTTGGAAGGGGAATGTGAAGAGCAGTCCAAGACCACTGGTGCCAGCATGCACAGAGCACGCACAAACTCGTGCTGCCTCCCAGCACACCAACCAGGAAAGCTGCCAAAAATCCCTCTTCCCTGCACCCGGCTGCACCTTCCTGCAGCTGCCCTAGACACATGCAAAAACATCATCATGGGGTGCATGTGCTCAGGTACATGTAGCCCCTCTTCCATCTGCAGATCCATCCACCCCCCCATCCCACAAACCGTCCATCCCAATTACAGCATCAGCTGCAGCCCCGACTCTCTGTGCACCCACACAGCAAAAGAAGATACGTATCCAGAGTGTACAAAGATGCCTGAGTATTCCCCTAAACTAATCTGTGTTGCCTCCAGTTCCACGTGTAGCTGCTGTTCCTGGTGGGAGATGTTGTGCCTCTCCTTTAGGAAAATGAAAACAGGGAGAAGAAAAGGGAACTTTCCCAGCATCATCGCTGCTGCGTGAGCCCTGGACGGTGACACAACACAAATTACTCCGGGGAGATCTCTGCAGCCTGCGGCAGAGCTATGTGGGACAGACCGAGCTGAAAGGATATTTTTAAGCCAAATTCAAAGAATACCTAAATGCATTTTTCAAATAAACAACGTCAGCGCACAGGAAGGCCGGGCTGCGGTGCCAAACCCCACAGCAGGCAGCCACCGGCAGCAGCCAAGTGGATACTGTGCCTGAGCAAACATTCCTCCGGGAATCTGTGCTGCAGAAACACCTCAAAGCACTTGCTGGCACCTTACAGGGAAAACCTTGGGCCAGGGAAGGAGGAGCACACCCTTGTGCTGGCCAGGGCCCAGGGCCTGGGGCAGAGCACCCCTCCATGTACGGACCATGGAGGTGCTTTGGGAATGACGTTACGGAGCTGAAACAGACCCACTGCTGTGCCAAAAGCAGCTTCAGGGCCAGTGAGAAAACCCACCAGCTCCAAGTGGGCTTATCATTGCCCTGGGGGTCTTCAGTGATAGGACAGTCAATGGAAAGACCCAACCCAGATCCATTTTTCTTTGTCACCTTTTAATCTTCCCGATTAAACTTTCCTCTCGACTGTGCTTTTAAAGGCTTCGTTATGGGAGGGGAAAATAATGGTTTACTTTAGGATTACTGGGGTGGGGTTTGCAACAGCAGAGAATTCAGCTAGAATTTGCTAGGATCAGCCCAGCTGCCCCGTAGGCCCAGTTCAGAAAGCCCTCAGGCTGCCCAATCCCCCTCCAGGTCTGTGGGGAGCCCAGGCTGCCACAGCTCAAACTTGCCTTGGGCAATGAATCTCCTACTGGATTCCCTGGCGCGTATTTCATAGCTGCTTTCATTAAAAAGGGAAAGCACATGGAACCAGCAGGACCTTGCCATCTCATCTGGAAAACCACGGGAATATCTCATCCCATTAAAGGCACTGCGCTCCACTGTGGGAGGAAGAAGTACTTTCCTCCCGTCTGGGGACAGGGGCAACCGTGTCTCGGCTTTGTGGCCTTTGCAGAGCACTCCGAGGTGGGACAAACCTTCCCCAGGAAACCATTTCCTTCCCAGTGGGACACACTATTTCTAAAGAACATGGGTTTTCATGGTGCTTATTCACGGGGGCTCCCGTGACCAGGAGAGATAAAACCCAACGGTGCTCCGGCTTGGGAGAGCCAAACGCCGCCAGCAGCTTCCAACTCACCATCCCGACGGGCCGGCAGGAGCCCAGGTGGTCACTGCGCCCATTCCAGCGGTAGAAATCGGGGTACTCTCCGTGCTCCAGGATGTACTGCTGCCCTCGGAAGTCGGGGTGGTCAAAGCAGACCCAAGCTCCACTCTGGACGCAGATGGAGTTGACCCTGTTGAGGAATCCTTGCTCCTGGAAGCTGTTGCAGCTGCCGCAGACCTCCAGCTTCCTGCCCGTGAAGCATTTGCCTTCGTAGAAAGTGATCTGGGGGGAGGGAGGAGAACGGGCCCGTGGTGAGGAGCAGCGGCACGGCCGGACCCCCATTCCAAGCAGGTGGGAATCTCTTGCACAGCTGCATCATTTTCAGGGTGGTTTTAGGTTGTTTTAGCTGCCTTCCAGCACGAGGAGCACGGCATCACTGGCATTTTTTTCCTAAGAACCGCATTTGTTTTTCTGGGAACGCGGCGCATCCCGCGTTCACGACGCTTCTCGCCGCCTCGTGCTCTCTCTCACGCATATTTCCAGCAGGAATGTTTAAACAGGAAACTCGGCTCCCGAAACGCGGCTCCTTCTGCCGCACCCCTCCCCATCCCTGCTCCCGAATTTGCTCCCGGCATCGTCACTCACGTCGCGTGTGCCGGGTCCATTACCCTCATCGGGGCCTCCAACCCCGTGGGGCGCTCGGGCTCTCCGGCCCCAGGCTGAAAGGGAAGCGGTGGGGTCGTTACTTACTTTTCCCGAGTACTGGGACATTTTCTGCTGGCTGTTATCCAAGACCAAAAGCGGGAGCCAGACCAAAATGGCGATGGACAGGACATTGGACACCCCACTATATAGGGGCCAGCGGGGGGGCCCCGGGCCGGGGCTGGTGTCCCGAGGGCTTTTTAACAAAGCCGCGGGAACCGGGGGCTTTGCGCTTTCCTGCTTTGTAGGCAGAACCGCCGGTGACGGGGCCTGCTGAGTCCGGGGTTTTGATTTTGGGCAGATGATCCGACAAAAGATTTGCTTGGCAGGGCTTTGGGTCGATTAGCAGCGCACATTTACCGCTCCTTTTTGGAGGACCTCTTTTTTGTTGTTGTTGGTTGGTTGGTTGGTTCTTTTCCTCCCTTTTTTACTTTTTCTTGGAGCAGATAACAAGTAAGGAAATAGCAGTATCTCTCCAAGAATGGCATGTAATTTCCCTGAGTTAGGTTTGCTGCGTTTTGCTATCAGGCTGCTGCTTTTTTCCAGGTTCTTCCCACCTATTGCAGCACTGCAGCCAAGAGCGGGAGTCCTTGGGAGACTCCTCAACAATGCACACTGCACTCCATCCATCAAACCAGTGGTTTCTCATTCAACCTTCAAACATCCTTCAATGGCATCTCTGAAAGCCAAGGACCTGATTCCCTCCAAAGCACAAATGCTGGTCTCACAAACCCACTGATGTTATTCAGGAGCATCATTTTTAGGAATGTTTTGATCTTCCAGCATTGAAGCCCTGACTCACAGCTGTAAATCAGGATTAGAGGGACTTTTTGACCGTAAAGTTACTGTAATAAAGTGACTTACATTGCAGCTATATGGGACCATAAAGTCCTTGTCTGTGTTATAAGAACATCCAGAGATTTTAAATGTCTTATTCTCAGGATGAATTAATAAGCAAAGGAATCCCCCAGCCCATAAACCTCATCATTTTATATTAACGAGCCAGGATATGAAGAGGTCAAGGCAAGTGCATTGGAGATGGATCAGCATTCAGAGATGCACCAGGGGGTTAAAAGGAGATTTGTCTATTATGCTATTTAATAGCTCTGAAAGAGACTTCACACCCAGCTCCTGCTCATCAAATCCTCCTCTTCCTCACCCGCCGGGCCCTTGCCACCTCCCCTCTTATCCTGGACCATCAGGCACACGCTCCAGATCCGAACCCTAAAACCTCATTTCTTGGCAGGTCCAAGTGCTCACACGTTGCCAGCAGCCTCGCCTGGCAGCCCCACTCTGCTGCCTTGGTTCACCGCTTCGCTTCAAGATTAAAGACCATTCCAGAAGGAAGGATGTCATCATTAGGGCTGTAACGCACGCCACCCTTTCAATTAAGATGTAGAAGTTAATGAGCGCGTGTGCGCGCACACGTAGGCTGAGCTGGAGGATGTCAATTGACTGGGATGTGCTGGAGGAGGAAAGGGGGAGGTGGCACACTGTGCTGGGAGAAGAAACACATTCTTCAGCTGATGCAGGTAAACCTGCCCCTCATCACAGAAACACGGTGTGCATTTCTGTGTTCCGAGAGGCTGCAGGAAAGAATTAAAAAAGCCTAATTTTATTTAAAAAAACTCCACAAACAACAACAAAACACAAACCAAACCCTCACCGAAGTGCCGGTGCTAATTTTAAGGTGTTAAATAATCACCAGATGGTGCAGAGAAAAGTAAAAGTGCATGGAAAGTCCCCCTTGGAAGAGCAGCAGCCAGGGCTGGGGGGCACTAGCGGTGTTACCCAAAACCAGCCCTTGGCCGTGCACTCAGTGCCCTGGGAGGGAAACATGAGGGGGACAAGGTGGCACTGTCTTTGGCACTGGGACCCAACTCTCCATCCACTGGGGTTATAACAGCCCAGCGCTCTTTGCATCAGCCATGAGAGGGAGACCCACAGCATCCATGGCAAACTGGCCCCTAAGTACCCAGGAAAGCAAATATTACCTCAGGAGGAGTTTTTTATGGAACCACAAAAGCCTGGTTTCCTCCGGCTCTGTCTCATGATGGGATTTTCCTGTTTCTCCTAAGGTGTGAGATTTAATTAAATGTGCAGGAGCTTGATGAATCTGAGACTTGTGCCCAGCTGTCAGATTGGTTAGAAGTTGTCCAACAGGCTGAAAAGCTATTTTAGGAGAGATGGAAAGAGGGTGAGACGACTTTATTCTCATTTCTTTGAGAAACCATGTTAAAGATATAAAATAACAAAGGACCTATCTCTACAAAAAAAAAAAAGGAAAATAATGGGGACAAAAAGAATATGGAAGAATGGTAAATGGTAATTCTTGGACAAACCCCCTTAATTCCTTGGCAAAGATGGAAAGGCAGGTACAAGATACTTGGAGCTTATTAGATATGGAACAACCATGGGTCTCGCTCCTTCCCACAGAAAATTTTTTGGCTTGCTGCTGGGAATAACGAGCACATCCTGTGGGCCTCTGCAGAGCAGCAACAGACCTCACAGTGAGAAACCATCCTTATGACTCAAGGGAGAGTGTCTGTGTGAAATCCACTTTGCTCAATGAAGCCCACTTCAGACCAGTTGGCAAAGTACTAATTTCTGCTGGTGATTAACCCATTCCCAGTGCCTGAGTACACCATGTGCTGCCTCCCAGAGCTGCTGGGGAGGCTGGTTACACCGACTGCACAACACCCTGCAGAACATTCAACCCACCCCCTCACTGGTAGAATACAATCACCTGTGCTAGAAATGGGAATCAGCTGCCAGGCAATGGTTTTGTGTTCAGTATGCTGTCTCCATCATGGGTGCACCAAGACACAGTCTCTGCAACCTCTCTGCCAAGAGTGGCCATCCCACCCCATGCCACACAACCCCTCGTGTCACCCATGTGGAGTCCAGACTCCAGAAAACCTCCCCAGACTGAGGAAACCCCGTCACAGAATGATGGTTCACGTCTGTCCAGGTTCCCGCCAGGAAAATAACTTCTCACCTTGGAGATGGGACCTGCTGGTCAGGTTTAGCCAATTACAGAGATGGATACTGAAAAAAATCTTAAAAGCTTTTTTTTTTTTTTTTTTCAGGAATATTGTGTCTATGGATCAATGTTAGTGCAACTCATGGCACAACCCAGCATCTGACTGAGATGAGACTTGGACTTCATTTTGGAAAGCATCAGAAAGCCTGGGGTTGGGGGGGGTGTGGGGTGTGAAATCCTTTCAGTTTTCATTGTACTTCAAGAAGGAAAAGTTCCAGTAGGAAAACAGGACACCTAAGGAAAAGCTGAATGCTGAAGAGACCCATCACCCAGACTAGCTCAGCCACATTTCCACCTGCCAGTAACGAGCTGAAGGATCTGTGCAAAGGTTCCCGCTCCCCCTGCCCAGGTGTCAAAGAGGAGCAATTTTGACCTTATTAGCTGAGGCTGTGAGGATTGAGTCAGTATTAGCGAAACGCTCTGAAGATGAGCAGTCCTGATTACATAAGGACTAATCAGAACCTGTTGATTTCTCCTTCTGGGGAGGCTCTGGCTCAGCAGTGCTAATTATCAGGGTAAGCCCAGCAAGCCCGGGCACATCGTCACCACCTGCGCCGCGCTGGCACAGCGGCCTGTGACATCTGCAGCAGCACCAATTCTTCAGCAACAAAGGTGTAGGGCTATACATTCCTTTCTGGAATAGGTGAAAACACAAAAATATGCATCATGCCAAATGCTGCCCTTCTTGTTCCGGGCTGCTGCCCATCTTGCACCTCGAAGGGAAGTGCTGCAGGTTGGGGTACACCCAGCTGGGTGTTGTATGCCCACCTGTGCCAGAGACATGGGCAACTGCAAGAATTGTCCTTGATCCCTGCCAGGGCGCAAGTTTCGACACAGGAACTTCTCCATTCAAAGAAATCAGAACAGAGAAAGGCTGAAGCCTTCACTGCTGCCTCCTGTGCCGAGAGAACTTGCTCAGCAGAGTCTGATTTCAGCCCATGCTGCTCTGCCCTGGTCCACGTGCTACAGTACAGCTACTGCAGACATGTGGGTGCAGTAAAAACACTTTTCCAGTTCTTTTCTTCTCCGGTGTGCTCTCACCAACCCTTTCCAGAAGCTGGAAGCAGCACTATGCAGAAGACTCCACAGACCCACAGCAGAACTGGCTCCAGCCTTCCCCATCATGGAGTTAATTGGGCAGGGACAAAATTCACTGTGCACAGAAACAACAGGAAAAAGAAGGCTCATGTATCCACCTTGTGTCTGCAGTCTGTTCTCCCCTTGCCAAGCTCACCTGCCCCACCACTTTCCTTGTCCTCAGCATTCCGTGCACAGCAGGACGGGAGATGGGCAGCTCAGGCTCTGGGACCCAGGATTATTCACACAGCAAAGCAAGGATCTGGGCAGGAGCACAAGCAAGGCACGAGTCATTTCCAGACCAGCACATTTTAAATCACACAAGTCAAAGAGAATTTAACTTGACTTACAGTAGTTAAATCCTCAAATAATCAGAGAGTAGTTGAGATCGGCAGGGACCCCTGGAAGTCACCTCGTCCAACCCCCTGCCCAAGCAAGGGCACCTGGAGCTGTTAGTTCAGGACCACGTCCAGGCAGCTTCTGAGTGTCTCCAAGGTGGGAGACTAAAAATGGACAGTGCTTGGTCATTCCCACAGTGAAAAAATTTTGCTTGTTTCCTCAACAGCAAAAGGATCTTTGCCCTTTCACCTTTGCCAGCAATCATCCCTTAAGAATAAGGCTGGGCCCTGTTCAGTGTATATAAATTTTCTTTCTAGCCCAGACCACAGAACTTATTTCCTCTGTGACTTACCTTTTCATCTGTGCACCATTTATCACGATCCTCCAGCAGCCTCCGAAGGATCAGGGCAGCTGCCAGACAGGGCTGCGTAAATTCGTCAACTCCAGGCAAGAAGCAATTTTTTTAGACAGCAATTTCTTGCTTCTGTACTTAACAGGGCTTCCAAGACTTCCCACCCCCCCACCTCAGGGCTCTCACAGTGAAGAACCCAACTCGTGCCAGCTCAGTGCAAGGAAGCACGAGGCTGTCCCAGCCCCTGTTGGACTCCAG